GTCTTTTTCAAACTTAAGTTTTGGAATGCCAATTACTAAGTCTTGTGAAACCAATTTGTTCAAAAGGTTCATGTTCATATGAGCTACCCTTCGGTGCCATAACCAAGTGTCTTCCTCTTTACTCATGAGGCACTTAGCAAAGTCGGAAGGAGATTTGTCTAAGTTAACCATATAAATGTTATCGATTCTATCACCACGTAGAATGACCTTATTGTCACTAAGGCGTTCTACCGTGCATGATTTTGAATCGAAAGTCACACGGTTTCCCTTGTCACATAATTGACTTATGCTCAAGAGATTGTGTTTAAGACCTTTAACAAGCAAGACATTATCTATAGAGGAGTTTTCAGATTTACCTACTGAACCAACGCCAATAATTTTTCCCTTGCTATTGTCTCCAAAAACTACGTTTCCTCCTTTAGCGGGTTTGATTTGGAGAAACTTGGATGCATCCCCGTTCATGTGCTTGGAGCATCCGCTATCAAGGTACCAAAGTACACTTGATGCCTTCAAGCACACCTATGAAACACATCAATGAGTTTTAGGTACCCAATTTACGTTGGGTCCTCGGGTGTTAGGTGTGTGATGGTAGTGTGCTTGATTTTGTGATAGGTGCTTATGCCTAGTGTAACAAACGGGAGCAATATGGCCTATCCTATTACAGTAATGGCAAACTACGTTAGGGTTGTACATGTGCCTAGGTTCATAATAGTTAGAGGGTTTAACCATTTTGTTCCTATTTTGTGAAAACAATGGTTTTTGAAAATTTTGAAACTGGCCTTTTCTAGGTGTTCTAGTATTGTTTCTCCTAATTTGAGGAAATTCGTTTTTATGCACAAAATCATTTTTCTTAGGTTGTCTACCATGACCGCTTTCATTCCTAGGTTTTAGTCTAGATTGTCTAGTGTCCTTAGGTTGACTAGGTTTTCTATTATCTTGATTTTTAGGTTTCTTATGTTGAACCTTAGATGATTGTCTAGGTGGTGGCTCAACATTATCTTTAGCTTTATTTTTATCAAAACCTATTCCTTCTTTAGAAAAATGCATAGTGTCAAGAAGTAAATTTAAGTCTTTGTGAGGAGTATTAAATTTCTTAACCGTGCTCTCAAGTTTAGCGACTTGCTCTTTTAAAGCTTTGCAAGACGCACATTCACTTGATGAGCTTTCTGGTTTGTCAGCGCTTCTTTTTCCAAAAAATTTGTTTTCTTGATTAAGTATTTCATTTTCTTTTTCCAATTTTTCAAAATCATTTTCAAGTAAAGAAAGTCGTTTTTTCAAAGATTTATTTGTTTTAGAAGCGCTAACAAATTCCTCATAAAGTTCATGAAGTGCTTCTTGCATTTCTTCAAAAGTATAAGAGTCGGAAGAAATGTTACATACCTCTTGGATGTCGTCGCTTTGATCTTCGTGCGCCATGAGGCAGAGATTTACAGCTTCGTCCTCCTCTTGGTCGGTTGATTCGTCGCCGGAATCGCCACCCCATGAGATGTAGGCCCTTTGCTTCTTGAAGCCAGGCTTGTCCTTGCCGTGTTTGGCATTTGGACACCTTGGCTTGATGTGGCCAATCTCGCCACAGCCGTAGCACTTGGGAGGACCGTCGTTCTTGCTTCCCTTCCGCTCAAATTCCTTCTTCATGAACTTGTGGAACTTCTTGATGACGAGCCCGAATTCATTGTCGTCATCGCTTGAAGCCTCTTCCACCGGTTCCTTGGTGGCTTTGAGAGCTATCCCCTTTTTCTTTTGTTCATCCAAAGACGGGGTTAGAATAGTAGATTCATAGGTATTAAGGTTACCTCTTAGCCCGTCGATGGTGACGTTGGAGACTCCAATGGATTCGTAGATTGCATCGGCTTATGACCTCCATTCGGGTGTGAGACTCCGCAGGATTTTCCTCACGAGATCCTTGTTGGTGTAAGTCTTTTTGAGAGCATGAAGATCGTTGATGATCTTTGAGAACCGATCGAACATGTCATCGATTTTCTCACCTTCTTTCATTCCGAACATTTCGTACTCTTGGGTGAGAAAATCAATCTTGGCTTCACGAACTTGATCGGTACCTTCGTACGTCACTTCAAGCTTGTCCCACACCTCCTTGGCGGTTGTGCAACAGGAGATCTTTCGGTAGTCCTCGGGGTTGACCGCGCAATATAGCATGTGTATGGCCTTTGCATAGCTTTCAATCTTCTTGATGTCCTCGGCATCAAATTCGTTTTCGGTCTTTGGGACCGTGGTTTCTCCCACTTTCTTCATAGGGATTTCTTCGCCATTTTTTTATCACCGACCACAATTGGAAGTTGGTGGAATGAATATAGATTCTCATCCGTTCCTTCCAATAAGAGTAGTTGGTGCCATCAAAGAGTGGTGGCCTAGAGGTTGATTGACCTTCTCCAATTCCTGCATAGAGATTTCTAGAAGAAGAGCCCATGATCGCTTTACTCTCAAACGGTTAAGTTTGGACGCGAGTTAGGCTCTGATACTAATTGTTAGAATAATAGACCAACGCTAGAGGGGGGGTGAATAGCATTTGATCAAGAAATCGCAGGAATAAAAAAAATGAAAAAACGAGAAGTAAAGAGGCACACCGATATTACCCTGGTTCACCACAACTTGTGGCTAATCCAGCCTCCCGAGAGACTCTCTCGAGCTACACTACTATCTCGTTAAGCTTAACGGTGCTTAACAAACCCGTACAACTTGAGAATTCGAGTCACACGAACCTGAACAAACCTTCGAAGGAAACAGCCCTTCCTTCAAACAACAAGAGAAATACCTTCTCTTGTCAAGTGTCTAAGAACACTAAAAACACTCAAGAACAATACTCTCTTTTAGAGTGGATAATGAGTAAACTAAGAACGCTCAAGAACACAACACAAGATTCACAAAAATGGCTCTCAAAAGCTATGAATAATTGAAAAATGATTTGCAATGAAAGAGTAGGAGTTGTGAAGTAATGTGATGTGTAAAACAGACCCAAACACCCCTTTTTATAGTAGAAAAATAGGCTCCAACGGACCAAAGTATTTAAGGGGTGATTTGCACAATTTGTGGGATTTGATAAAATTTGGATCTGCTAAAATTCACCCAGACAGCGCTGTCCTAGACATGGACATCGCTGTTCTAGGCTTACGTTTTGAAAAATGGGAAGCAACGGTCATGCCAACAACGATGTCCAAAAATCCCTACATCGCTGTTTTGGCTGTTGACTTCCAAACAAAGAAAGTTTTAGCCTTAAATTCCTTCCAACGATCAGGTCTCTACATCGATGTTCCATACTAGAACATCGATGTTTAGGTCTGCCTTTGAAGATGGAAGTTTTGGCCTGAGAGCACTGTTGCTGGGTCAACATCGCTGTCCAAAAACTTTCTGCCAATGCACTATATTTTTGGCTTAGGTTGGACAGCGCTATAGGGAAACCTACATCACTGTTCCAGAAGTTTCTGGAAATCCAACCTTGGCTCAACAGCGATGTCTAATGTCCAACATCGCTGTTGGAAGACATAACGCTGAACCATGTTTTTAGCTACCTAGGCCAGACAGCGCTATTGATTACCTCAGATCAACATCGCTGTTGGGCTGGTTTAGCCAGACCCATGGTTGGTTTAGTCACGCCGTTAGCCGATGTCAAAAACGCAAGTTCTCCAAAATAAAAACCAAGTTTAGAAAACATTTGTTAATTGCATTTTGCTAAGAAATCAAGTAAAACATCTTAAAAACCACGTCATTTAGTTGAAAACCACGGCTAACCAAGTTCGCGCCGTTTCGCATGGTTTTCACCAAACGACCAAAAACGAAAGGTGGTTTTTGATGCGTTTTTGTTGGAGAACTATTTAAATATACCCAGAAGTAAAAACCAGTCATAAAAATTTGAAAACCACTTGGTTGGTTCGGACGCCAAAAACCAATACCGAAAACCGAGAGCCGAACGCCGGTTTCTGAAAACCGAACGCCGGATGGCTTGGTTTTTGGTTTGGGCGAACTCCAAGTGTTTTTAGCCAAGTTTAAAACTTAAGAAAAGTATTTTTGAATATGCAAAAGAGATTTTGATGAATTGAGCCTAGAGAGCCAAGATTTGGAATTTTGTGCCGGTCTTGATCACATTAAGACCGACTCAATGCAAGTAAAGATCTGGAAATGTCGTTCTGGACAACTCAGAGCAGAACCAACCACAAAACAGTCCTCAAGATCTTAATGAAGAAACCTATCAAGACCAGAGTCTTCCATCTCCTTCATCACAAGTTCTTATTGATGAAGTAAACAAATTCATGCAGCTCTACTATATTTGGAGAGCTTGGAAGGTTGGAAACTCTGCAGATCAGTTGCTTGAATGGATCAACAACTGAAAAATGAGAAGATTATCAAGGGGTGTCTGGGACTGCCAATCAACTGCTCTTGTGAGTAGATTTTGGATGAGAAATGGGTGTGGCAGAAAACCAATGAAGATCTGTTGCTAGAACACTTGACCACCTCTCCACCCTCAAAATTTGATGTTGATGATGATTATACAGCAGTCTACACACCCATGTTCATCAATTCAGCTGGTAATCAGACTTCAGACTAGGCTGAGAACATCACTGCTGAAGCACATGCAGACTTGGAGGCTAAAGCAGAGGATTTCCAAGTTTTTCCAGAATCCTCACCTGCCATTGAAACTGGTCTTGCTGAACCATTCTGGAGAATGAAGCCACTCCCTAGCAGGAAGAACAGAATCAAGGTTGATTGGCGAACCACACCACCCGGGTTCGATCCCCAGAAGATGCAAATTTGGAGAAATTTTAAAGTTAAGCGTGCTGGCATGGGAGTAGCAAAAATGATGAGTGACCCCCTGGGAAGTAGATTTGGGCTTATGGGGCTGGGCTCTAGAATGGGCTTACTTGGGATTTCTATAGTGGGCTATCTACCTAAGGTGTTTAACGGGCCCCGGGGTAGTCACGAGGTTAACGGGCCTCAGGCCCCCTGCTTGTAACCGACTGTTCGTTATAATAAAAAATTATATATATATTTTTTTTTTCAGCACCCAAAAAGATTAAGCAAAATTAAGTGCACAATGATCTGGTTTTTGAATGGTCTGGTTGATAACAATTAACAACAATATATCCTTTTTGCCCACTTATTGAATTGTAAAGACCAAAGAACTGATGATACAAGGGCAAATTCATCAACCCACACATACAACAAAAGCTCACCAAGGTGAGAGTTTACAGAGCGACCATGCCTCGAACTCGACATTGGACCTAATGCTGATCATGTCCATGATCGCCATGACCTTCCCAAGGATGCCTCCACCCCAAAACTACAGGTCCATCCTGCTTAGCTCTGTACAGAACCCAAAACCACATGACGGCACACAATCCCTTCCCGGTGACGGTATGCCACCGCTTGGGCTGGTGGATGGTGACCCCTTTATAGGTAACGCTGCCGTGTCCATGTCCTCCTCCCATCTCCGATCCCTTTCCGCACACTCGCTACCAGATACGTCGGCCCTGAACCACTAAAAAAAAATTATATATATATATACATATACATACATACATACATACATACATACATACATACATACATACATACATACATACATATATATATATATATATATATATATATATATAGACACACACACACACACACACACATATATATATACACACACACACATATATATATACAGATATATATATATATATATATGTGTATATATATATATATATATATATATATATATATATATATATATATATATATATATATATATATATATATATATATATATATATATATATATATATATATATATATATATATATATATATATATATATATATATATATATATATATATATATCT